ATTAACTATAAAATCCATAACAAAGAAATTTTTATTATTATATATGTATATATATATTAAAAATAGTAAGATTATTTAAAATTTACTTCTAATATAATAATATATTAGAAGTAATTATATTAATATGTGTCTGAAATTATTGCCAAGTTTGTTGAAGATGAAAAGTTAAAGATAACTTAATATTAACCTTTAATACATTAAAAATTGCCTTCTAATACCTAAATATAAATTGAGGCCTTCAATACAATAAGTGTATAATATTGAAAAATATCATCTAAAAAATTAATCTTTTTTACTATAAATAGATTTTAAATGAAATACAAAATTCCCCATTTTTATTAATCATTGCACCATTACAAAAAATAGAGGGACATAATTTGTAATTAAAAGATTTTTAATGAAATCCATTAGAATAGATGGCCAAAGTTATTTTGGAATAGTTAGAGGTTGAAGAAATTTATAGAATTGATGATGTGGAGTCTTTGCTTGAAAATAAGTGTCACATGATTGAACACATATATTGACACCTTTCATCATTAAAGGCTACTAAACCATCAACTATCACTAAAACAACTTTCTTGCCAATAGTAAAATTTTCATATAATAATATGATAAATATCTTTATTCAAAAAACTCTATTTTTTTTACCAATTATGAATATCATCTGTAATTTAATATTTTTCATTTTTCAAACATTAAAAATTAAGTAGTAGAGAATTTGGCAAGTAGAATGGTAAAGCTTCACACAATAATAAAACATAGCTAAAGCAGGCTCAAGAACAATAAAAAGCTAATCCATGTGTTCTTAGAATTCAATCTATAAGATGTATATATATATATATATATAGATATATATATATGTAGTAGATCCAAATCCTTAAGTTGTATTTAACAGATAATCAAATACGACTGTTTGTCCATGATGTAAGATTCAACCTCATCTGCCTAATTCTTAGGTGGATGAAATTTCGACTACCATCCAATCCATCGCAACTGGGTTGGAGCAGACATTCATTCATCCAAATCGAAGAGTTGATCTGCTATTGATATGGGATATAATTACAACATGCATGTCCAGAAGCAACACACAGCCGCTGCTCTCAAATCGCATTCTTCTGTCAAATTGAAGAATTTGTCTTGGTTGGGGTCCGCCTTCTTTGCATTCTAAAGCACCGCCTTAGATTGGGCAAGCAAGAAGGTTGAATACGCTTGTGGGAGGGACCCTCTGCATTGAGATCTCAGCAGAATCAGTATCGGTAGTCCTCGCTGAATCAAAAGGGTTAGATCTTTTGAGTGACGAGTATTGAAAAGGCTTAGCAACATCATCACTGTTGTTGAATGCCATGGAATCATCGAGCAAGTGAAGCAACACATATTCTCCGAGTGTGGAATAGTGGGTTCATGCTCTGATGCCTGTTGGATTCCAAGCTCTTACAGAGAATTTCTTCAAAGCTCCGTTAAAGTAGGCATCGACGAATCCTTGTGGCTCCGACATACAGCAGCCAATGATGTTTCGCTGTGTGATGACTCCCAACAACCGAGTGGTTCCGTCCACAATGTAAATGCAGTACAGGTTGCTTGCTTTATTGTTAGCGTTTCTATCACTTTGCCCAGTGGGTCCATCTTCTCGCTTGTCACAGAGGGTATTTCGCCAGTTTGTGCCTCCACGTTCGAAATCATATTAGTGAACTCCGGTACCGTCAAGAGGCTGCCAAATAAGTTTAGAAACCAGTGTTAGCCACTGTCCACCAGTCAGAAGTTCTTTCCTGATACACAGAATAATTGAACCGGGAATGATTCCAGAAAGCTGAGCTGAAAACAGGCCCATCCACTCCACAAATCCCACATGCGCCTTGCAAAGATAGGAGACTTAGGCAATAGAAACCAAACATAACAAACATTGATGCTGCCAACAATGTGATGGTTATGACTGGTCACTACGGAAATTCCTTCAACGCCCTTCTTCTTCATCAATTTGATGGCGTGTGACACAAGTTTGCTTGCATCTGCAGACATTATATTAATGTCATTCGGCGACGTGGAGATTGCAACCACACCAGCCAGGACTTCCTCGACAGGAGGATGTAGCACATGACTTTCACCTGAATTAGCAGAGCTTGAAAAACACTTAACACGAAAGTTTTATGGCATGGAAAAACTTGATAGGAACAAATCAATTCACGAGAACAACACAATAGAACAAGGCAGCGTTTCTTTGATTGTGATACAGCCTCCTTTCCGAGACCGTGAGATGCGTTGGAGGTGTTGCTCCAAAGCAGCCTCGCATCAGTCGAGAGTGGTGTGGATTGTGAAGATCAAAGAAGTGAAGGAGCGAGAGAGAGGAAATTGCACGAGCAAGACGATTAGTTGATTCACAGCGAGCTTTACTTCATTTCAGGTTACTTGTTGATACATTCCCTATAAAATTAAATCAGAATAAAGATAAAGAAAACCAAAAGTGACTCCCATAGCAAAGCAATGACCCGTACTGCTAAAGTGTATATATTTACACACATACACACATTCCAAGGATGAAGAAAAGATATCTGATTCTTAATTTCAAATGTTCAAAAAATAACAAAAGTTGTATAACTCCTTCTTGAAGGTGGAGGTTCAGATCTTCAATATGTATAAAATGAGACTTTGTGAAGAAAAAAGTAACACACACACACGCACGCACAGAAGAATGTCCACAAATTGAAAACCTGATTCATAGAACAGAAGCAAGAACACGGGTTTTATCATTGAAACAAGTGTGAGTATCATTGTAACAACAAGTAGCACGTGCGAACCATACTAAAAACCCAGGAAAGTGGATCGAAAAAAAAATAAAAGAATCCACCATAAAATTTGAAAACTAAGCTGTGGGTTTAACGTAGTTTGTTGGTGCTTGAGCCTAAAACTAGGCCACGAGGCATAGATTCTTTGTTGTCTCCGCGGGGCACATGCTAACGCCAATCACGACGCTTCAGAGCTTGCATGGCGCCCATTCTGTTGCATTGGCTGAGAAGAAGAATCTTCTTATAATTCCTCTCTTGGTCGTCCGATGTCTTCAATTGCTGCTGCGTCTGCTTCAGACGAGCCCGCAAAACTGAGCTCTGCTCAGACGACAATGCCACGCATTCTTCTCGCAGCATGCTTAACAACAGCTCGTGTTCTCGATCTGAGTACGCCGTGCCGGCCCTGGCTAGCCTTGCCATTGCGCCTTTGTAAAGACGCATCACCCACACGTCCAGAACGCTCCAGTTGTTGAGATACCCCACCGCATGCTTCGTGCTGTTTTTGTTCAGTTCGTCATTAGCGTAGGCGTAGCATCTGATGAGGTAGTCATCAAACCTCTCCGACGCACCGTGTAGCTCGTTCCGTGCGCACATGTCGCGGAGATACTCTTCCAGCTTCCTTTGTCGATAAGCCTGCCTATCCTCACATCTGATGTCTCTCAGCGTCGAATAATGATCCCAATCGAGCGGAGGAGCACAAGGCTCAGTGTTGCAGCGACAATCTTGATCGTCCTCGTCGTTGCAAGCCGCGTATTGACTGCTGCAAGGTTGCTCATTTTCACCATTCTGGCAATTGACGACGCGGTTGAACAGAATGTTGGGGTGCGACTTATATCGGCATTCGGGCGGGGATTTTGTCGGCCGAGCGCGAAGAGCGGGATTGGGTGGATCCCCTAGCGAAAAGCAAACTTTTGTGTCGTACTCGTCCACTACGCTGATGGAGCTGGCGCACCCACCATCGCCGTAAGGCTCTTGGAGAGATGGAGGCCGCCTGGTCATGCTAGGGGTACTCCTGCCTGACCAAGATTTCGACAGTGGGGTTTGCATTCTGTCGACAATTCAATAAACTTGTCGAGGGGTTTGGCTGAAGCAGCTTGGGGTGGTTGCACTCTTCACGCCTCGTGGTGCAGTTGTATGCGTTGAACATCACTCTGGGATAGAGCCAACGGGACAACTATGATCAATCTCCTCTCTTGGAGAATTCTGGCCCTTCGCAAACCTCGCCTAGTTTCTCTCAGGTGATGTTCCATTCAGGATGTTCAAAGGCTCGGTAGATCCGTCAGAAAAACAGTGATATTTAATCCCATTTCCTCTTGGAAAATTCCTTAAATTTAGAACTCTTTGAGAAGCAATTGTAGATTTATCGGGTAAAACTCAATTACTCCGCGGCAGGACATAATCATCATGCGCGAGATGGTCGTATTTTCTCAAGGTGCTTGTGTTGTCTATTCTCAGAACCCTGCCACAGCAACTCCTCAGTGACCGAGCACTGCCACCGCACACGTAACGATTCTGTCTTCACATGGGGGTTTGAATCGGCGACGATGACAATACATTCTGCAGATGCCGCAGCGTGCCAGCTCCGTCGATTGAAACTCAAGTCTTTCTGCTCGGGAACCTGCTCGAAGACCGATACGGGGGCCGAACTTCACCACTGGACTAGGCATGGATCTACTTCCGCCAAAGGGACGATAACACACGCACCAAATCCCTCAGTGGAACTCTTCTACTGCGTGAAACCATCAACTGTCTACATTGCGGCCGGACACGACCCCACGAGACGGTTATATCGAATCGGACTCGCAAGAACTCTTCTCCCGACCATCAACACTCATCAATGTGCTCAATTGTTCAAAGAATCCATGGTTCAGTTGAGCTTGATCAATCGCTCCCTCGAAACATCATTCTCAACCAAACCAGCGACTCTCTGATCGAGAATCGACGTACCCTACAACACGAAGAACGCATAACTGAATCGCTGAAACTCCTTCAAATCTCCTCACACCAATAGCATACGGAAGGAATTGAAATCCGGAACCAGGATTCTCCTCCCGCTGATCTTACCACATGGGTCCGCACTGTGATCCGATGCGGTGCTCTTTCACCGAGATCACCTCTTCTGAATATGAATGAATGAATGATGATGTGAAGAAACTGGTACGTTCATCCTCAATGGTTCTCTCTCTCTCTCTCTCTCTCACTCTCACACTTGCGGCACCCAAACCCTAGAATTATAGATCGAGAACCTCTCAGTGTCTGTGTAGGCGAGTCTGGCTATGGCGGTCTGAGCTTGGCGTGAGGAATCAGGATTTGGGGGGTTGTCCGAGGTTAACGTAACCATGCCGCTTTACGATTTTGTGGTGATGGTGAAGCCCGCCGTGGACCGGCGCGGCCTGGTGGAGTTGATGAAACGGCTCGGGGAGCGTGTTTACTCTCGTAATGGAGTTGTGACTAACATTAAGTCGTTCGGTCGTGTTAACTTGGCGTATGGCATCAGGAAACGCGATGGCCGATTCTTTGAGGTGTGTTTGAACGCTGCCCTAATTTTGAGGTTGTTTGAGTTGATTTGGGATTTTCATTGCATGCTGCTTGAGTGGTGTGCCGAAGTCAGAACCCAGTGTCAATTGGTGCTTTTTCATTCTTGCATCTTCGTCGCCGCATTTACATCCCTCTACCTCTCCTTGTTCGCGTTTGCTGTTGTAGATCGTAGTATGCTCATGGTTCTAGCTAAGAAAATCCTTTAGAGCCAGCCATTAAATTTTTCGTGTATAGGTTGCTATTCGTTTAAGTGATAGGGTAACGATTTGGGCTGGTTAGTGCATTTCTTTTAGCTGTCTTGGTTGCTCCAGGGGAACTCGAACATTTGAATCATGCTTGAGGGTCTTATTGTTTCGTCACGCCCTGTTTTGTTGGATTTATTTTTGTGATGGGTGTCGCCCTGGCAGTTAGTGAGTAGCTATTTTAAATACCGCACCATTGCAAAGTTAATCCAAGAGACTTGATTGTTCAAATGAAAGGTCAATTTTATCATTAGCAATCAACACTCGTTCATTCGCAAGTGCTAAGCCCTAAACTCTCATCCTGGTCGCTGATGATCAATTTTGCAGGGTCAAATGATGCAAATGTCAATCATGGTACCACCAGCATTTCCACAGGAATTGAATTTCCTGAACAAAGATGAGAGGCTTTTGCGATGGATGTTGATCAAGAACCGGGGAAACAACTGGTCTAAAGTAGGGAAAGAAACTTAGTTTACGGAGAGACTTGAGTGGAGCTCGGGAACTTGCACTACCATATTGCTTGAAATTAGTGACTTCATAGAATAGAGAGAATTTTTCTGGCGTACCCACCATCCCCGACCAGGCTGTTGGTTCCTCGAGGATGCTCGGCATTATTTGATGATCCGTTTAAGTGTTACGAGTGTACAGGAAACTCGTGTTGTTTGCACCCTGTCCGGACGATTGGATTAACCTAGACTTGTACCCTGCAAAACACTTGTACAGCTTTTGCGAATGTTCTGATCCAAATATCAAAAACATCCAGGGATTGAAGTCTAATTTGATTGTCAAATGTAAGTCTAATGCTGCATGGGTAGAAATCTCATATGGGCGAGGGTTGTCGAACAGCATTAGCTTTTGTACTCGAGACAGTAGCCTGCGGAAGTTATAGGAGGCGAAGCGGATGGCTTTACAGATTTTATGCAATGTGAACATCAAACCTTTTGAAGACGATTGAGAGGATTATCACTAGTCTGCCTGGAAATATTCAAAATAGGTTTGAGTGAGTGTTTTGGGTAAAAGGTCAATAATGGGATATTGAAAACACTCTACAATTATGTTTTAATGAAACATAATTATCCTGTTTATACACTCAATGTTGCTTCCTCGGTTAGCTCATTCATAGTGAACACTTGAATTGCTCTATTAATCAGACATCATATTGTCTCCCTGATTCAATTAAGAAAATCTTCAGAAACTCCACTGACGGGGACGGTACAAACACACAATTTTAGGGGCAAGTGCCGATCCTCAGAGCCCATGTTAGGCTACATGATCATTGTGATCGCATATGATTGCATATGAGCATCAAATACCCAAATTTAGATACAGAAATAGGAGAGATGTTAGAGATCTAGTGCCACCTCATCTCACAACTCTGCTAAATAAAAACAACACTCAGGTTTCCAATCATCTTCAACTTCATGTGTAGGCATTTGGTCTGAACATACACACTTGTGACAATGTTTTCTCACCAAATGTGTACACATGAAGTTCAGATGAATGCAAGCACAAATGTTGGTGGTATGTTGATGGTCAAAGTTTGTATGCAAATCTTGGATGTGGTGATGTAATTTGCATTCATGAATTAATTGTATTTTTTTACAACTATTCTGCATCCACAAGTACCAGTTGTTTTAATTTGCAAGCATGTGCACATTCTACTTCTTGTACTCTTCTGTTTGAATGAAACTGGTGCACAACTGCAGGTCTAAGTTGCTTTATTTTTTATTTTTATTTTTTTTCTCAAACTAGCTTGGTGTTTTTAGCATCTTGAAATACATATTGTGAGAAATATTCATGTCCATAAAACAAATGGATAGTCTATTACACTCATGTGTATTCTTTTTTTCTAGATTGGTTTTTCCTACATACTTATTCTTCCACAAAATATTAATGATATAATAATGATAATAATAATAAATCAAAAAATGTAACAAGAACTTATATAAGATTAAAGTTGCAATGTATTTAATTTTTTTTCAAAATATCACACAACCTCTACTAAATTTTATGACTATGTATCTAATAATGATTTTATTAAAAATTCTAAAATATTAAGATAAAATTATGATTTTATTTATTTTTATAAATTTAAAATTAGGTAGTTATTTAATTATTTATTGTTTATTTTTCTTAATATTATCCACATATCGACAAAAAGAACTCTTTTATTAAAAAAATATAATAAATTTACAATAAAATATTTCCTACATTAAATCAACAAGCTTTTTAAAGTAAATAAAAGAATTATATGAAATATATTATAAAATTTTGTTAAGATTAATAAAAAAAATAAATAATTAAAAAAATAAAGAAGAAGAAGAAGAAGAAGAAGAAGAAAAAGAGCCATGGGTTATTACACAAAATGTGTTACTATAAATTTATTCTAAAAAATTTTAGTATAAACAAAAGTTTTAATGTATATATATTGAGGATGTATAGAATTGGAGGAGAGGAGATCCATAAAGTAGTTCATTTCTTTTTTCATGTTTTTTCTTCACAATTGCATTTGGTGCCTATATCTTATTTTTTTAGATTTAACATTTTGATATACATTTGCAGCTTATTCCTATAAATTCTATATACCATGTTACTTAGGATTTGGCATTTTGACATGCTTCCATATTTAACGTTTGGACTCCATGTGATATGTTACTTAAAATTTAGCATAATTCCATATTCAACACTAAGGTATTGTATGCTATTAGAGGTGCAACAAACAAACCTTTGATAATTTCTAATATATATAGGAGAATGTTAAATAGTCTCAGGTTTTTACTAAATAGACCTACCTATCTAGACCATCATTGCACCTTTCCATCCCACATCCCTTTTCTCCCCATTTCCAACCCCCATTCTCAGCGCATGTCCCCCATCTTGACCTCCCATCCCTTGTTGTTACTTGTCCTATTCACATAGAAATTCATTTGCATGATTCGATTGTTGTCTCACAGAAAGTCAAAATCTATCTTGCCTTGTGTGATTGTGCCTTCTCCCAAAGAGATGTAAAAGCTTGTAAGCAGGCCACTAGTCCCCCCCCCCATGCACTTGATGCAAGAGCTGAAATTCCTCAAGGGATATGAATTCAAGCTTCAGAGACAGCCCCCACATCCCTTCTTGTTGAAGGTGATGTCCACATCATGGTTGACATCTGTACCAATATTATAAGGGTAGCAATTGATCACCAAAGGCCAAATTAAATTTGTAAAATTTCTCTTAACTTTCTTATATTGGCTAGGTTTTGGTTGTGGTGTATTTAGTTTTTGATATTGTGTGAAGTCAATGGGGAAGTCTTGAGAGCAGAGCAGATTGAACATAAGTTGAAGCATGCTCTTTTCATCTTACCACCTATTTTTGTGCAACAATTGCCAACAGGTTTAGGTTTTTGAAAACTAAAAATCAATTGATCATAATGTACTTGTGTGTGTGTTTTTTCTTTAAATTTTTGGTTTTCTTATCTTCTTTTCACTGTTTATTAAAATTGCATTGCACATAGCAATGTCATGTATTTCTCCCACCAGATACTTGCTTTCTAATTCTTTTAGTAATTGCTAATTAACTCTGTTGGTAAGATTTAGTCAACAACATAAGAATCTACACACAAACTTCTATGATGTTTTAAAAATCGGTATGTTTTGAAGCACTCACAAAACCTTGTGCACAAGACGCATGCTGCTAAGAAATGATCCACAAAAAATTACTCACAATGAATATGGATAGGAGACATGAACATAAATGGAAACAAGAACATGGATGGGGGACAAGCACTTAGAATAGGGGCACAAGAGGGAGAGGTGCAATAATGGTCTAAATAGGTGGGTTGATTTAATAAAAATCTCCAGCTATTTAACATTCCTCTATATGTATCTATACATGCATACACAATTTGCATGATATCATGAATGACACTCTAATAACACTTTAATTACATTATTATTTAAAGTTCATATCTTCATAAACCATAAAATGTGATGAATATTGTTAATGATTGATAAATGGTCTTTTCTTCGTAAAACTACAATCGTGTCAAACAAACTAATAATTTCATATCCAAACATTAAAACACATTCACAATCTCAACACCAAAACAGCAACTAAATTGTGGACCTAGAATAAAATAATACCTTAAGTTACCCATATATCATATTGATCAAAGGAAAAAGAAAAAGAAAAAACAGCAGGTATAGCAATACAGTTTTCCGCACTAAACAATAGATGCTCCCGCACAAGGTGAATATTGATCCTTCCAACCGTAGTACCCAAGTTTTCCCAAGAGTCTTCACAGTAGTACGCACCAGCAAGCTCAAAAATTTCATCATTCATTTACCTAAGTTCCTCTCCCTTACACCATCACACTAGTCATAATACACCAGATGTTCCTAGGGTAATGTGGTAGTTTCTACCTGTTGTCTAGATTATTCTTATCTAATAGACTTGCGACGAGGAATAGCAGGCAGCACCCTCAACGAGCACATTTAACGGAAAGCGCGGATGACAGCTACTGATTCAATTAATAAGCGTAAAATTAAGGCAGACTGTGATGCACCAAGTTAAAGATCAAAAAGGGTCTGGGTGCGGATATTTACTGTTTATTTGCCCATTGAGAAACATCGCCTGGCAACTTAGGCTGTCAAAGTGTGGGACAAAAAATCAATTCGAGACTTCACAAGCATAACAACGCGACAATGTTTCAAAACGGCTCGAGGTATTAAAAATATTTCAATTCCATCAGAGAGGTTCGAGAGGGAAAATCTAAGTGCTAATGCTAAACCTACACTAATTCTCAAAACTGTTGTTGCTGGTACCCATGAATTCCATTCTCTTCACCTCGCTTCCGTTCCACCTGCCACAAATAAGACAGCCCTACATCAGTATCTTACGAAATGGTGGTAATTAAAATTTAGAGAAAGACGTGCATAGGAACTCACCAAACAGATATTTAGAAGACGGTACATTAAATTCAAAATGTAAAGAGAAAATGATTGAATCAGTACCTTAAGCCTACGACCTCCAACAGCAACGTTATTCAGTCTCTGAATTGCAGTATCGGCTGAATCTGCACTGTCGAAGCTCACGAACCTAGACAAAACATTAAAAAGTATAAGAAAAAGCCCCTAGTGCAGTGGAATGTAAAGATTTCATTCCAAATTGCAATGTTCTAAAGCAGATCGACTGCCTTACCCGAATCCCCTGTTCCGGCCGCTTTCCCTCTCCACACCCACTCTTGCGTTGATGACATTCCCTTCATGAACAAAACACTCTCATTAGCATTTTCACCATAAATCATTTCAAAGATTTGTGTGTTGTGATCACTCAATACTAGTCATGGATGGTGTCTCAAACCAACCAAGGCCAGGTCCCCAGGTCACTTTATTCCATGACTCTCACTCTCAAAGCAAGAGGATCAAGAAAATTACCGAAAGGGGCAAAAGTTTCTTTCATGCTCTCATCTGTGAAGTCATCAGGGATGCGAAACACAAACAAGTTGGCACCAGGGGGTCCCTGCATAGACCACGGCCAGAATGAGCAAGCAATCCCACTCCTGAAGGAGGGACGGCTACACTTCTGACGCTTGAATGCCTTCGTTCATTTCGTTTTACACCTCCGTCAGGGGAAGTCACTCTACTCTAAGCTAGAAAAGAAAAATCCTATGAATCGATGAATGAGAACCTGAAATTTTAAAAGGAAATAGATTTCCTATTCGGCACCCAGGAGATGATTGCGATTCATGAAAATCCATTCGATTTTCACTCTAACAGGGCAAATACCGATAACCTCAAACTACCAGAAACAAACATATCGGCTCACAATTCCCTCGCAGGAAGCCTATTATCAGAGTATGTCTAAGCTTAAGGTCTTGAGGACTCGGATCTTTTCAGATGTAACAAAGCAACAAAAGCATGCCTTGATACAACTGAAAGAACACAAGGCTTCTGGGCGATTAGGTAACAAAGTGAAACCAGAAAACAAAACCCTACACGAGGAAATCAAGTCGTATAGATTCATAAACAAAAATTTCTCCACTGGTGAAGCAAATGAGAGAATTAAATATGGAACTGGCGGAAAGAATAACCACGCAGGAAGCAGTGGAAGCACAGTCGTCACTGAATCAAAGAGAAGTCTGTTTTCATAGAATATTAAGTCCATCCTAAAACGTATAGAACTAGAAGATACAATCCAGGCATACATGCACCACAGTCTAAAAACTACTGAGCAGATAATTGATTGACCAAAAAGAAAGCCCCCAGATAAAAATCCACACACTTCCAACCAACAAAATTCACCCTTTCAAGAAAAAGTCTCCAACAAAAACTTTAACTGAAAACAACGAACATGTTCACTAGCTAGATGATTACCTGCTGCCTAGGCTGTTCGGCAGGGCCACTGGTGACGGATTGTAGCTGCATATATGTCATTCCCTGTCAAGCAAATGATAAAAAGTAAGGCCTCAAGAGCATGCTGGTGGGCCCAAATGTAGACTAGAGGAATACATTTTAAAATGCAGTATGACTCCAGCTTGGACCAATTTTAAACGGAACATTCAGGAGCACCAGCAATAATTCATGGCATTACTGAACTCAAATTCAAATGACATTGTTGGAATTATTCTACAACAACCAGGCATGTACTATGAAGCCATAATAATACTACAATGTCTAGTGCACGATATTCCAATACTGTTTGTAGGTTGTATGTAATAACCTTGAAATCATGCACAATTGTACAAAATTAACGAAATAATGCTTCGAAATATCAATGCAAGAAAACTGGATTCTGTGCATTATTTGACTTTCACTTAAAACTAAAATAATTAACTCCGATTAAAACCAAGAGATGAGCATATACCGGCAGAGTCTGTTGAACACTAGCTGAGCTAGAAAATTGCTGCTGACCCTATACAGAAAACATGATACTTCGGTAAGGGTCCATATTTAATCATGAAGACAGAAAATAACTTTGACACTAGTAACAGTCTGCAGCATAGACAAAAAGTTCTCAACTTAGATCAATTAACCAGCCTAAATGGTTCACTATAAACAAAAGTTACCAGCAGAGTAAACTAGCAGACTTCATCTATAACTAAACATGAAGGGTTCGAGCAGGAGTTAACCACATTGGATAACTGTTGGATAACAACCCGTTGAACTTTAGATGATGCTGTTAATGACGACACTAGACATATTCGGACAGTGACTAAAGTATTGATACCCAATATGTTTGTTAATTAGAAAGGGACCGTACAGAATCGCTGATCGCGGCTGGTACAGGTGCTTGAGTCTGTTGCTGTTGCTGTTCAAAAGCCTTCAGCTCCTCCGGTTTCTCCCACTATGACAATCAAAAAGTAAAATGAATCAATGAATCTTCATATCTACAGATGCTCCTACACGGCTTATGGGTCTTGATATACAAATAGTTGTTTTAGGATTTCATATGAAACAATCAGCAACAAATCGGTAGGGTATTCTCCCACAGTGCGATTGGGAGGGGCCTTACCCGCTTACCGACTCTAAATTCACTCACAAACACTACCAAGATGTCAATGAACTCAAAGTTGACGGGTGTACCCCTGACGATTCAAAAAGAAGTCTGAAAAGAAGGGTCTTCATACACTCACCTCTCAAAAACAACTAAATAATACAAAAAATCACAATGATGATCAATCACTCTATACAACTCAATACAATACCTTGCTCTCTCCACTTGAACTATTATAATAATACTTGTAGCCTTCAGCAGAAGTGTGCTCCGACCAGTCACAAGTCAGTTGCGGGGCTGGAGGCTGTGGAGCTGCCACAGATCCAAGAGATTGAGGCTGCAGCACAGGCAGGTAATACGCAGGCTGCATCACAACAACAGCACGTAGTATGCGTGAATTCGACGCAGTACATCCACTAATTCAATACTAACAGAATGATGATGAAAAGAAGACGAGATTGAATGATGATCATAGAAATTCCAGGAACCTACAGTTCCATCCAAAGATATTACATGATAATTATGATTGGTTACGAGGAAACGTTTTTGTCAAACTCAAATTCTGTAGCCTTGTCAAAGTGCAGTACCTGCTGGAGCTGTTGAGACTGAGGGAGGGACGACTGATAGTACACCTGCAAATCCATCATGAAATGGTTAAGAGATGATCGCAAACACGAACGTAGAACATATGATACAACAACAACCCAATTTCACCTCAATACCCACAAACAAGTCTCCACCACATCCTGATTGTTTAGAAACCCCTGAACCATTTTCATGAATTTTATCTTTAAAAAATTGGTTAGTTAGACTACATTAAGTTCGGTTGGAACGAACAACTCAACAACCAAAGTCCTCAATAACACCAGTAAGAACCAACAAACCATCACTCTCAGTGACCCCAAAAATGCGCAATATACCCCAAAAATACTCGGATGTGAGACCTGCTGTGGCTGCAATTGCTGAACAGACTGGGGTTGTTGCTGTGTTTGCTGTTGCACTGGCTGCAAAGCTTGAAGCTGCCCTACAGGCTGGGGTGCAACCTGCTCAGGTAACTGCTGTTGCTGCTGCCGTTGCTGCTGAGTAGGTGGCAGTTGCAACTGCATCAACACCTGTGGTTGTTGCGACTGCTGCTGCTGCTGCCCAGGCTGCACTTGCATAATTGGCCGTGGAGGAACCTTAAGAAAAAACTCAACTTGTATCAACACAAAACAAGCTTGGATCTACTAGTGCAAAGAAACTTCGTGCGGTTCGGTAAATATCATTCTCAACACCTAAAATAAAACGGTCTTAAAATCTTTGCAGAAATGCCTACAAACCTACTAGCAGACATGCTACAAGAGTAGTACCTGTTGCTGCATGTACGCCTGCGATTGTTGCTGAAGGGGCATTTGCACATAAGGCTGTAGCTGCAACGGTTGAATTTGCTGCTGTTGCTGCTGTGGGGGCTGAAGGACATATTGTTGTTGGGGCCTCTGTTGAGTTGCCTGTTGATAATATCCTTGACTTACCTACGCAAGACAAGTAGGTAACCGCACATCAGCTTCTTCGTCTTAACTCCACAACCACATAAGTCGCCTCATTGTCTTGGATAAAGAGATTCGTACTATCGAGCTAAGATATATAACCAAACATACATCTCTCTGGATGAGGATTAAAACATCTGGTTAACGACATTCTGCGAGTGGTAATATTGATCATAGATACAGTTCGTAGAGACTGAACACTACAAACCACGTAAAGCAAATATGCTGGTGTCTTTAAAGTAGTGTAACCACTTGTATCAACAGTGCACGGTAGTTGCACACTGTACATCACCCACAACTGAAATTTGGAGACATTCAAACGCGGCAGCCACATTATATATTGAAATATTAAACAACTAATTTCTTTCGGGCTTCTACATTGTGAAATTAAACAAACACAAGTAATGCATGTGAGAAGCATCATACTTGCAGAACCATACAGACCTAACATGCTTTAAGCCCTCCAGACCTTGAAATTCTCATCAATCCTTACAATCAAGTAAACTAGACACCCTACAACTAGGACATGCTAAACCAGCATACCTGCTGCGGTGAAAGAGGCAGCATTACTGGGGCAGCGACTTGACCAGAAACAGATATGGAATTTTGAAGATGTCCATTCATCAATTCGCTCACCATCATACCACCCTGCTAGGAGCAAAGAATACTTCACCATTCATGGTCCTACCGTATTCATAAATCAGGGAAAATACAAACTCAGAGACAGTTGGCCATGTATGTGCCTTCGAATCGACAACAAGGTTGTTGAAGAAGAAGTCAAGTAATTATACCATACAGGCTACTGAAAAGTCATAAGAAATGAAGACAGGAATATGCTTAACATACCATCTGCGGCACACCCGTCACAGGCCCCGCCCGGGCCACTGTCGCAGCTCCATATGGGCTGGGTACTTGGAGAGGACCAAGACCAAGTCCTGCTTGGGGTCTCCAGCCCATCGAAGGAACACGACCAGCTGGATGACCCATTTGTGCATGCATAGACCTACACTCGCAAAAGGCACCAGACCAGCGTCAGCATCCAAAGTAAAAATGAAACGGATTTCAGCATAGAAGACATATCCGATTAACGCTGGACATCAAAACAAAACTGATTAGATAATTTAAATAAATGTTCAAGGACTGAGTTTCAATCTTACACAAACCTTGGACCTCCTGGCCCTTGTTGAACTAGTGATCCTTGTCGCGGACTAAAACCTGGGCCACCAACACCTGGACCACCAACTCTGCAACAACACACCAATGCAACGTTTCAATACGTTCAGACAAAACAACTCATCGGACAAAAATATTGAAATAAAAATGCTTCACCAGCGGACACAAGCCCACTGAATTCATACCTGGCATCCCCGCCCTTCGGTCGCTTGGGATCAGCAAAGCGAACTGCCAAAGGTTGGTCACAACCCTACGCAACATAAACAACTCAGACTGCGAATAGCTTCAATGCAATACGCAAATGATATCTAGAAAACATAGATAGACATCAAAAGAACTCAGCAACGAAAATATATCCCATATCGTCTGCTTCCGAAGTGGAAATACGGGAACTATCGCAGCAACATACTGGGAATAAAACGAAAAGATTGCCCAAGCATTCAAGAAAGTTCATAGTCCAGGTACAATGAACAAGATCTCAGGACATGAATGAGAAAACAAATCGGAAAAGCACAACAGTTTTAGGAAAAGGCATTTGAAAAACGTGAATGACGAATTCCCTCTCCAAAAGCAAAACCTTATTTCGTAATGATGGTGTCCTACCTGCATGATGTGAACTCCATTCAAAGCATTAATTGCGGCTTGAGCATGATCCCTTTGAGAATACTTAATAAAAGCGCAACCTGCACAACTCGATTAAGGTCAGCTTCAAATGTAATAAAGCTATATGTAGGTAATTCAGTATCACTTGGAAAAAAAAGTCAACAGGTGTAATGATCAATAAATTCACATCATATATGATAAAACTTGATATTGGAACTCTTGTGCCTATTCAAATAAAAACCATATTCAATACCTTTTTTAAAGCCTCCGCAATTTGCAAAGAAATCAAAGCATCATCGAGACATACCTCGGCTCTGCTTCTGCTCATCCCTCATGATATATACATCGTCAACTCGGCCATACGGAAGAAAAAGCTGCAACCAAAGCATGTATCAATCCATTGACATCGTCAAGACCAATTGCCTAATACCATGTTAAATATCTAGAGCAAAAATTCTGGTAAGTCGTACATTGAAAAGACATAAAGTTTACCCATGAAGGAATTTCAATGGAACCTCAGCGATCTTGAAATCATCCCCTGCATTAATCAAGAACAAAACGCAACAAGAGAAACTATAGGTTCAATCAACCGTAATCTTACCTCTTCTATCTCCTTCTCAGAGGCTTGTTTATTGAGTGAACCAACAAACAATTTATGTTCCACAGCCCCTACATCAATGCAATATTACAAACACAGGTTGCAGCATTATTTGAAAACAAAAGTACACACGGAATAACATACGAAGAACACTGTGTAACAGGATTGAGTAATTCCTAGAAGAGCGTGAAACCACGTTTTCTTTAGAACTTTATACCAGTTTGTCTCAAAATTAACATTTTCAGATACTCATGAACTCGTTGAGAAAGTCTTCTAGCAAAAATGTGATACGAAGTCCATACCAAGTCGCTCACGCTCTCCATCAGCATATCGCACTTGCACTGGAGCAACTCCCTGACAAGAGACAATCAGTAAACCACAAACATATTATACTTCTGTATCAAACAAACGTTCTCAAGGGAATACATTGGAAGGCTTAGAGGGTATCCCTAATTTAAGAGAGAAGCTCAGAATTGAAGTTCTGTACTTCAACTTAGCCTCTCCAAGCTCACATCATGAAGAATACGAGACGAAACCAAAGAGTCAAAAAGTTCCATACTCCTGGCAACGTTTTCTGATTATGAAGAGCCCTGATTGCTCTATCTGCCTCTTCAACAGTGGAATACTTGACGAAACAACAACCTGCAACACTCGACAATCACAGACAAGTCAAGATGCATTGTTCCCCATATTATGCTCAATAGACCGCAACCATCTCATGGAAAGCGGTTTCAGTGGTAATATCATACAAACATAACGAGCGAAGAGCTATTGAGCAAGAAAATGAAATCCAATGCAGAAAAGCCTCTCCCTGACTCGTAATGAGTATGTCAACCATACACACAACATGGTAATATTGGCATGCATTCTAGACACGTTTCGGCGCAGGTCCAGTACCAGATCACACAGAAAGAATAAGAGAAAAGCAAGTTTACAGCTCAAACTTGAAAAATAACAAATTTAGTTCAAACCATAACAAAATAATAAAATTTAAAAAAAGAACTATCGAATCACCATCCACTGTATACATATCCATCACGCAAACTGGTAGAGAAAATCCAGTTGATCGAGCACATTCAAGGTAGTAAAATACTAACAAAGGATAACATCGAATAAACTGAACACCAGCAGACATTGCTCAAGGGCAAGAGGTCCAAGCCATCTAAACAAGCATTCCCTGACCGTATACAAACACTGACTCCTAGATTGTTCTACGATAGTCATTCATAAACCCGTACACAACCATTGCTGCCATTACTAAAGTCATTCACATCATTGCTATCATGAAAACTATATCTCCATCATCTAAGCGGGTTCGCTTCACAAACATTAGACAAGACATTCATGTACCCATGATTGCAACATCGTTCATAATGAGCACCATTGGCGTGAAATGAACAATGTGGCACAACATCGACCTGATTCTCATGTCTATATACAAGAGCATTCCACTTGCCAACAAACAATGTCTGAGATCGCACACACTGGCGTCACAAGACACATACGCAATATTCACTCACAGGAGCTTTTCTGGCCGGGCCTGTATAATGAGGCGCGCCACCTGGCACCTTTCATAAATCTGACCCAAGGCCACGTCTGCTCAGAGATATTGAGCATAAATGTCTTGTCCGAGTCCAGTGAATCCTCTACCGACTGAAAAGCTAAAGTCTAGGCAGAAGTAATCGCTGCGAGGGCCTCTCGGAGCAGTGATCTGTGGACAAGTAGATTGAGGGAGAATAGAACCCTCAATTAGAATGACTGATTAGTAGCACCGCTAGAACCAGAGCGCTCTATAAACATCACAGCACAATCAGGGATGTTCCAAAAAGCATCATATAAATATAGATATATATATATATATATATGCTATTCACGCAAATCACAAGCAACACCCTGCCAGGAGATGTACTCAATTGATGGACGCTTCATTACCAAAACACTATTTATACGGACCAATGTCGATAAACCCACGCATAGAAATAGACAACACCTACAAAACAGAAACGTCTAGAAGGCAAGCCAACGGTTCATCAAACGATTATTTAGATAGCCACAAGTCATAAAAAAAACTCTTTAATTCTCATGAGAGCGACTGGAGAAAAATACAGATTTCATTGATGGTAAACGAATTAGTACTATGAAGAGTGATACATTCTTCTGTTTGAGGAATTTGAGAATATGATAGATCTTAAATGGGATTGAATCACGTAGTTCTTGCCCTTCCACCTTTAATAACTACAAGAGCTAGCATCAAGAACCCCTCTCAACCATCCCCACTTGTCGAAGACTATAATCTTTCAGGGAAATGCGAAGGCAAAGACGAGTCAGGCAAAGAAATGTGGGGCACATCCTTACCACATGTGCCCCGGCAGTGAGATACACGACAATATTGTTTAAAAAAATTTGATTGCAAGCACGCATAAAAGCATGAACATGAAGTGATGGAAAAACAAGCACCTTGTTGATTTCCTGTCCTTTTGTCCTTGATAATGGCGACTTCTATAACGTTACCGTGCTCAGCGAACATTGGTCGCACCTAAGCACAGATACCACAGCATCAAAACAAAGAAACACAAATAACTGAAAAGGCCGAACAATCGCTGAAATACAAAAGAGTAACACAGGAAATACACGAAAACGACTAATGCAGCAGGGGTGAGTCAGATGGCGTAACCAACCTCGTCTTCTGTAATTGTTCGAGGAACAGACCCGACGAAAAGTTTCACAAAAGCACCATCAGTTGGATCTGTAAAAACAGCACAATCAGGTCAATCAATGGAAAGTCAAATCTAGACACAATTTAATCTCAAACTCGATGTCAATATTATAATGTAAAGTTAGGACTGAAGACATATAATAGCAGAGAGAATTTAAGAATGTGCATGCAGGTCTCGGTCATCAGCTACCGTACTTCACTCTCACACAGTCATTGTCCAAGAGACTACAATCAGACACTGGCCATCAAGTGAACTACACGTTAAATTCGGGGTAGTATTCATGGGATTCAGGTTTGAAGTCGAATGCCGTGACGAAAGCACTCAAAACCTAACCCACTCGAAAGCCGTTTACTAAACTAAACTAAACTAAACTAAAAAAGATCAGTGAGACAAACTAATAAAAAGCAAAAAATTAATTCTTCGAGGAGGTCAAAGCTATTGAAAACGATCCATACGCGGGGTGCACTCCCATGAAACAACACTTATGACTCACACTCATTTCAAGAATACACAATTCGTGACGCTACCCACGGGAGTTAGTTTCTAACTGAAGTACGCGTAAGAGCTAGAAGTTGGACGAATACTTCCAGACCCACTCCTTCCACTTACACAGTCTAACAAAGAAGCCAAAACCTAGCGAAATTCTAGCAATAGCGTGGATAAAGAACAAGAGCATCAACTAATTGACACCCTATCGTATCAAATTTGTGGGTCTCCGTCTGACTGAAGTACGGGTTTCTGAACCTGGGAATCAGAGCCAAAACTGTCACAGCTCAAACCGACTGCTCTATTGAAAAATTCACATCATCGAAGATGAGTACACATTTAAAGTACTATGAACTAGATGTTTCAGGTACTCCTCAGCTATGCAGAAGAGGTAAGAAAGAACGGACATTCTAATGAACATAGATATTTACGAATGTACATGCATCTGAAGTCCTTTCAATTACAAACGCAGAAATTAGGGCACATACTCACTAATCGTCACAAAGGCTAGGTCAACAAGAATTATATCGATGAACTTACACAATACAGGTGAGCTTGATATATCACGGAACAATACTGCTACAGATGGAATACCGAACATTAACAATGGACGAAGCAAAAGCTCAAAACTGATAAAAAAGAGCTACCGCACATTCTGCAAGAGAGGGAAAATTAAACTTATTGCAGCTTCAGAGACACGATGAGCTGGACGGACCAGAGAACAAGTAACAAAAACATCAATGGTCAGCAGCGATATAAGATGCTAGATAACACAAAAAGCGGCAAGTAGAGATACACACCGCGGCCGCCGTGCACAGGAGCACCCGAACTATCCCGCTTCTGGCCAGACATAGAAGGCGCACTGTGGCTCTGAGCAGGCGACATTGAGTGGAGACTCCCGGCGGTGACGGCAGCTCCATAGCCGTCCTGCTGCGGAACAGCCGGCATAGGAGCAGCCTGCGCTTGAACCTGAACCTGCTGCAGTGGGAGTTGGTGCTGCATCAACGCCGGCGGAGGGTAGATCAGCTGTTGCTGTTGCTGAGGTGAAGTTGCTTGCATTCCAGCGACGTAAGGGGGAGGCACTGCAATCGCAGAAACCGCTTGCATGACGGTGATCCCGCTGGTTGAACACCTGCCCGCCGTCAGGAAGTTACGAGGGCTGGCAGGACTCGTTCGGTGAGGGCACGAACAAGGAGAGGGGGGGCACTTCTAGGGTACCGAGACAACAGAAAGCAAGCAGCAGAGCAGAGGAGGGAGGAGGAGGAGACAGCAGTCGCGGAATAGGAACGAATCGTTACAGCATCATCGATTGATTGGACTCTGGCTCTCTCTCGCTCTCTGTCTCTCTCTCACTTTTTCGTGTGGCTGACAGCGTCTCGTCGCTGGTGCTGACCAGCTCAGGGACGAGGGAGGGCAGGAGAAGAAGGCGGTGAGTGAGAGTGCCTCTCTCTATGTGAGTGAGCGCATCTGTGTGTCGCTCGAGAGAGGGTTTCAAGCACCGTCGTCGTCCTCGCTTTCGTCTCCCCTTCCTCTTCCTCTTCCTTTTCATTCCTTTTCCTTTCCTCTTGCCTCTTCCTTTCCTCTTTCCTCTTTCTCTTTCCTCTTCCTCTTTCCTCTTCCTCTTTCCTTTTCCTCTTTCCTCTCACCTCTTTCTTCTTTCCTCTTCCTCTTTCCTTTTCCTCTTCCTCTTTCCTTTTCCTCTTTCCTCTCACCTCTTTCTTCTTTCCTCTTCCTCTTTCCTTTTCCTCTTTCCTCTCACCTCTTTCCTCTTTCCTCTTACTCTTTCCTCTCACCTCTTTCCTGTTTCCTCTTCCTCTTTCCTTTTCCTCTTTCCTCTCACCTCTTTCCACTTTCCTCTTCCTCTTTCCTCTCACCTCTTTCCTCTTTCCTCTCACCTCTTCCTCTCCTCTCGATCCTCTTTCTCTTACCTCTTGCCGCTGACCTCTTTGCTCTTCTTTTCCTCGCACCTCTTTCCTCTGACCTCTTTCTTACCTCTTTCTTACCTCTCACCTCTTTCCTCTTACCTCTTTCTTACCTCTTCCTTTCCTCTCACCACTTTCTTACATCTTCCTTTCCTCTCACCGCGTTCCTCTTACCACTATCTTACCTCTTCCTTTCCTCTCACCTCTTTCCTCATACATCTTTCCTCTTCCTTTCCTCTTCCTTTCCTCTTTCCTCTTACCACTTCCTTTCCTCTTACCTCTGTTCTCCCCGCCTCTTTCCTTCTTTCCCTCCCGTCTGCCTCCCATCTCCATCTGTCCACATTCAACGGCCCAGATCATCCCATCGGCTTAAGGACCTGTTTCTGTTCCATGGTTCCCCCTTCTCGCCCTTGGGTCCGGTTATCCACTATAGTCCTGTCCCGCCACCGCGCGGGAACCTATGGCCGTAAGCTTTGAAGCGACAAACGTTGGCTTTGTGTGTGGGACTGTGCTCGAGTGTCCCTTGGTAACCCTAAATGGATGGACTTTAGTGAGGAGAGCCTCTCTTGAAAATAATTATTTGACAAAAGGATCTCTTAAACCAATATATATTAAATTATTCATAAAAAACCAAAAATAACTAATAATTTGTGTTAATTGATGCTGACAGTAACTATTCTTAATAACAATAATAATGATAGGAACTACTAGGTGGGTATTCCCACCTACATTTATGTGTATATTCTTGTGCCAGCACCCCACATACACAGAGTAAAACTCTCATTGATATTTTAAAAAAACAAACAGGGTAAATTTACACTAAAAAGTTTGTGTGCAATGATATATGACACTTCTTACTTCGTTCCTTTATTTCTTTTTCTTCTTTCTGTTTTTTTTAAATCAAAATACATTTCAAGTAATTCTTTCATTCATCTAAAAAATAAAATAAAATAAAATTGTTCATTTCATTTCAAGAAACTTTTATTGTAATTTTTTCTGTAATCTTTTATTGTAAACAAGGGTTTTATTTTGTGTGTGCAAGGATGTGTGGCACAAGAGGTGTACACACAGTAAAAAGGGTGTATCCACCTAACAGTTCCTATAATAAAATGGAACAAATGAATGCTCTTAGAAATAACCTGTATTCACAAAAGAAATAACAATGCAATCATTAACATTATACGTATGACTAAAGTATAAACAGAAGTACTAAACCCTAAACCAAGGTATGAGATTTGAATACTTTGGATATTTATTACAACCCTTCCAATGGTTATAAATGTTGAGGGAGTACAACAACTAAACACAATTCAATGTGATGGAATAGTAAGACGTTCACTGATTTTTTTGTATGCACAAAAATTTATTGAAATGCTTAAAAAAACCGAGTTCATCAAAATAAAGTTTTCTTTATATTTCTTTCTTAATATGAAGAATATTATTGATATAATGTATAATATTTACTAATAAATATGTTGAATGTAACTTAAAATATGAGCATTATTAAATATAGTTAAATTAGCAACAACAACTTCAAAAACACCAAAAGCTCTACTTGCATTCAGACAACATTCACTTTGAGCATCAAGATATTTGGAAAAGTAAAATTAAAATAAAATTTATGTATTTGTACACACACACACACACACACACATATATATATATATATATATATATATACATAAACAGATATTGTTTTCTAGTAACTTGTTTTAAAAATACTCCAATACTTTTAAGATACATGATTGTTGATATATTTGAATGTTTACTCATAAACTTGCCATCTTTGGGTACATTAAAAAAAAAAAAAAAAAAAAAAAAGACGAATTATCTTGCAGTGAGATTGCACTTTGTTCTCTATTCAAATGAGAATAAAAATATATCATTTTGAATTATAAAAGAAAAATATAGATAATAAAGAAAAATCAAGTAAAATTATAATACACCTGTTAAAATTAATAATGGTAGGAATATATGAAAGAGTCTATATAAATTATCTATTTTATGTGACAAAAAAATTACTATTTGAACGCAAAAACAAATATGAGGCTAATCAAACTTTGATGATGGCATGTACTTCTTGCTCTTAAATATATTATTTTATATATTAAAATAAAGAAAAAAATATTTTCCAATTTTAAAATAAATCTGTCTAAGATATTTTTTGTGCTATTCGTATTATGAATCATCATTTATATTTGGGATGTTTAAAAATACTTTAAAATAGTTCAATCTTATTTAAGCATATTAAAGATAGGAATAATTGTCTTTAAAATATCAATATTTAATCCAGAAAAACATAAAAGTATATATTTTAATCATTTAAATAATTAAAGAAATTTTGATAAAATTTTAAAATAAAATAGATTAAATTATTATTCTCATCTTTTAAACATTTAATGTTTTTGACAATTTGATATATAAAAGCATAAAATGCATTTTTCTAAAAATTTTATAAAATATTAGTCAATTATGTAGCTTTTTTTGAAGCTTAATATATATATAAAAATCTTGGTAATATTGGATATAAGAATTATTTTTGATAAATTATTATGTTGTTATAAGATTGTTAAATAAATTAATTCCAAATGTATACTTACTCTAAAAATTGCATCAATCAGCAAAATAATAAAATTTGAAAAGTCATATGTGGAAGGTTATTAATCTTTTTGCCAAACCACAAGTTGTGAAAGATGCACAATTAAGTTTGCTATCGTCCTTTCAAATTTTAGCTCGAGAAAAGTAGCAAAGAAAGAAAAACTGCATTTCAAATGAACATAGGTTTATTGACTCAATTTTGTAACTTACATCTACTTACATATCAATAATTTATCTACTCTTTTTTAGAAGCCAAAATAGCTTGGATACAATTCGATATGCTATGGTAGAACTTTTGATATCACTCAAGAGTGATAGAATTGTAAGAAGCTTGCACACACTCCCACAATTGAAGTATTCTTTTGATTAGTAATAAATATTCATTTAACTTCTATTTCACAAGTACCCACACATACTTGAATAGATTTAAACCAAGTGATTAAAGAAACCAAGTAGGTACATAAAAAATTTGCAATAATAACCACTATTTGATTGATTTTGTAATATGTTTAGAATCACTATCATGTTGAATTATGACACAAAAAAGGTTGAAACAATATCATCCACTTATCTTTACAAGCTCACCCTAAAGATTGCTATGATAAAGATTTTGTTTAATTCTCTCTTCTATCTTGCACATATAATCTCTGCCACAAAAAGTCATATAATCCTATACAAAAATTACACGATATTTTTATCATATAAATCACATAACAAGCTTGTAATTGAGATTTTTCATCCCTCATTTAATACCAAGTGCAATTATCAAATTAAAATTGATTGATCTTAGTCTCATTACTGAAAATCACCCTATATCAATCATAGACAATTCAATCTTGATGAATTTGAGCAAATTCCAACAAAAAATATATATTCTTGGCCATGAGCAATGGGTTTTTTTTTTTTTTTTTTTTTTTTTTTTTAATAATGACCAAAGACATGATTCATGAAATCCATGCCTTGTTGTATTGGTGCTTACCACCACATTGAAGTGTTCACTCAAAGCATTCTTTACTTCTACAATATTATCTAATCTATTAAATGTAATCACTCTTATGCACACTTGTCTTTGAGCAGGGATGATGTTTCTTAGGTGCCTCTCTCTTGAAGGCTCTACATTAAGAACATGCTTTCTACAAATCCTAGAGCATCTAAATTTAAAGATATTAAACCATTTTAATACTTCATGTGTGCTACACCCATGCTATAACATGATTGTAGGATTCAATCTCTTTCTTTTGATAATACTGTCATGAGCAAAGCAAACATTCTCAACTACAAGAAAAAAATGTCCTAAGAGACCACACTACTAACTAAAAGTGAAAAGAAGAATCTTAAGTGTTATTGTGAAGTTATTCTTACAATTAAAGGTGACTAATGCAAACAATTCCAAAACTATATCAATAGATCTAAGATTATTCACAATGTAATTTATCTCTTTTTTTTACAAATTTCAACTAAAATTTAGAAAGATAATAGCCAACCTGGTTGTCTATTTTAACCGATTTGCATTTTGGCAATAAAATCAACACTCTTCCAGATATGGCTTTCAAAAATTTATTGTTTTGAAGAATGACTCAGTTTAGAGAGTTAGTATAATTGTATAGCTTTCTATATTAATTATGTACTTGAAGGATATTATTAATTTTTTTTAATATATATTTTTTTAAAAGTATGTATGTTGTTGTAAATCATATATAAATATATATATATATATATATATACATACTAACCACCATAAAATTTATAATGTAAAAAACATAAAAAATTATATATATAATATTGTCTTTTTAGATTTTTATGGCTAGAGATTTAAAATTTTAAGAAATACCTAAAATACATTGTTAAGAAAAAAAAGTAATATTTGAAGTAGTATAACAATTAACAAAAATACATTGATTATCTTAACTACATACAATTTAGAATTTAAAATTTTAGACATGTAAAATATAATATTATAGAAAAATTATTGTTAAATTTATTTTATCATAAATTAAATTATAGGATTATCTTAAAGTTTTAAATTTAATCTTAAATTTTAAATTATAATTTTGTGTGTGTGTGTGTATATATATATATATATATATATATATATAATTTTTTTTTAAAAAAAATAAAATATAATTTTAGAAGGCCGATTGAGAAGGTTTATTGGAACTTCAATTAATGAAGTTATTTATTAATTTATATTTTTTAATATAACTTATATAATAAATATTTTTGTAAAATTTAAATTCTTACTGTTCGTTGATTTTTTAAATAAAATTAACATTCTTTGAAATATTTTTTATTTGAAAATAAAATAAATCATATCAATTTTAGATATTAGTTTAAAATCAAAGTTGCTTTGATATTATATCCAAGATTCTTAAATCTATTCTTGTAAAATGTATTTAAATGTTTTTATTATAAATATTTTTGATAATTTTTAATGTTTATGAAACGGTTTAACTAATATGTATGTATTGTCTTTAAAGATTTAAAATTTAAATAATTAATTAAATTTCAAATATATATACTATTTACAGTTTAATTAAATTAAAATTTTTAAATCCAAAAATAAAATAATTTATTTAATTTTATTGGAAAAAAAATTATTTTCTAAAATTGTGATTGTTAGCTTAATGTATATTGTTTCTCATAGAATTTTATATCATGTTATAATTGTTCCTATAGTATTATACTTGTAACTTTTTTGGCATTTCAAATACATAATACTAGTTGAAATCCATGTCGTTGGGCACAAAAGTGTATTTCTTATA